CACTGTTAGTAACCCCTGATCTTTCACCACCCCAGAAGTGTGCTTGAAATTCAAAGTTCATGCAGAGGCTTGTGGGAGGCCACTTATACAATAATCAGGATTTGGATCATTGCCCAAATGCTGTCTACTGGTAATGCCCTAGGCCTAGCCTGTTACACCCTACCATGCATGCTTTCTGGGCTGTGCATGGTCTCATGTGAAGTTGGCATTGTTCAACACAAAGTGGAAAATCTACGATAATTAAAGCTAACCTGAGGTGGCTGTAAAAATAGCATGAGGTTGAACTTTGGTATGGTAAAAGTTTGAGTGAAACTTACCTTATCAATGTCACTGTTGACTGTCAACTTTGTCTAGACACAAAGGGTTGGTTGAGTCTGTTTTCAACATGCTGAGTTTTTGCAGTTGCCCTCATTTGTTAGGATATTTAAACCAACCCAAACCTTGCCATCATGTTAGAGATGTCCCCTATACATATACCTGCTTCTTCTGTGGAGAACTGTAACTGTCCCCAATATATACTTGATCATGATATGCAGCTTTGTTGTATGGCAAAACAAAGCGTTACGGTTACACATTTTGAAAGTTCTTCTGTGTTGGTAGAAGCAAGTTTAAACTGTAATTTCCAACACAAGAGGTTGGACTTACCCAGATTTTCGAGTGTACAACTCCAGTCTTTGTCAAGGAACGAGCAGTCGACCGCTTCTTTAATTATAATCATTATGTTACATGTTTGTGACTGTGAGTCAGTCTGTTCTACCCACTGACCTGTTTGTCCCGTGAGTCCCTTGGAAACCAGACAGTGCCGTAAGTCATGTAAATTTGCTCTAAACTTGACCTCAAAGTCAAACCAAGTGATCTGAATGTTTGACACAAAAAAATTATAGAAAAATACCTGAGACTGTTGTAGTCTTCACTGTGTACCATTCCCCACCACTGGTCTTGTCTGCATTCAACTGTGTTCATTAGGAAATAGGATATGCAGGATCTGAAACTGGGCTGGTTTCACTTGTTGGCATCCTGCCATAATGATTGCGAACAGCTTAGGCTGAGTCAACATGTACCTTACTGGGCTCAAAACACCACCAGTCCTGTAAAACTGTACAGTACAGGATATAACAATGTTATCAGTCTGTAAACTTGGAGTTGTGTGGATATTTCTAATGTCTACCAGTCCTGTACCAAATTAATAGCCTGGGTGCCATCCGAATTTGTGGAGCCGTTACAAATTCGGATGGCACCCAGGCTACCAAATTAAACTCAGCAGCTAAAATAGTTTGGTAACCAGACTACACTAGTTCATAATCATGTAACGCAAGGTTACCAGTTTACGTGCAGGACCAGTTTACGGTCAGTTAGTGACACGGCCACGCTTCGAGTGTACCAGCCAAAAATCAACGGTCGTGAGCAACAAAGAATAACATGAATATGATCCTTATATGTGTCTTTTATTTATTCACTGGATGGAAAAAAAGTTTGCATTCAGCGACACAGCAGAGTATCTTCCGATATGACGGGACAGCAAGGTAACATGGCCTTGGACGCATGTTGTGTTTTTCACATAATACAATACTCAACATTTCGTCGATTTTTTAAAATCCCAAGAATGCTAGGAAATTGTAACGATAGCTGGCATCAAACCTGGCTTTATTATTTCAATCATCCATGGTGTTGTGAGGTATGAAACTTTCAAACACCTTGAAATAAACAAGCAAAAGTACAGTGGCAGTTCTCGCCGACTAGCGTTTTTTCAACGCCATTTTGATCATCATCATCGTTGCAGCAGGTGACGTCACGGTTTTAAACTGCAGAAAGGTACGTAAAAGTCGCACTGTGGCGCTGTTGCACATTAATTTATGCAAAAATGCCAAAATGGCTTCCTGCGTCCGTAGAATCTGGGTAGCGAAAAGTTTGCTCGGGTTTTCACGACGTTCCGCTGTGTCTGGAGGGGCATAGACGCTTGTTATCTATTGCAACGGTTTAATGGAACATCTTGGGCCATTATGTCACGTTCTACTAAGGGGAAAATGCAGGTCCAGCCTCATTTAGCACCACAGCGCTACTGCATGCGACAGTGGGCTACACACTGACATTTTACCGTGGTTTGTTGTTGACCACTTCGGTATTTTTTTGCAGAAAGTGTTTGTTTATGTGCGCTTATACGTAGAGCATACAAGGACAAAGGTCCAAGTGACCGTTAATTGGTCACCCTAGAGCAATTCTCCACTGTTAACTACTATAATAAATAAAAGCTGGCACGGCACAAAAAACGCAGGGAAGAAATGACACGGCACACACTTTTATAACCGACGAACTACTGTTTCTTCACAAGGGTTAAATATTTAGTTCTGCCCATGCGTTTTCACAAAAAATGGAATTTTCCATAATTCGACCGTAAACTGGTAACCTTGCGTTACATCACGTACATGTACTGGGTGTACAAGTGTAAAAAATACATATAGTTTTATTTTCCGTACTACTAGTATACAGATTGATACATGTACCTCCTCTGAAATTCTGAATAAAGGGTCAATGTTGAAAATCTACCTTTCTGGCAGAGAAGCCGCGCTAAGGTAGCAGGAATGACTCTATGACTTGTCCCTTACAGGAAATTTTGTATGTTGATTGCATCAAGTACATGTATTTGGAGCCCTGTGTTCAGTCTACGGTTACAGAACTGGAGTGTTTCTCCTTTCACTTCTGCCTTGTACAGGGCCTAAGCTGAGTCATCAAGTTGATATATCACTGACAGCTGTTTATACTTAGAACATGGCCACTTCCCTTAGACAATACTGTAATTATATTTCAGTCCATACCATGGTATGGATGAAATATATTGTGTTCTCTGATGTTTCTTCTCCTCCTTCTTCTTCTCCTCCTCCTGCCACACAGTCAAAGGGATTCAACTCCGCCATCATTCAGCCAAATGACTTGAAATTTGGCATGGAGGTAGAGTGAGCCAATACCCCCAGGCGTTTTTTTCATTTTTTTGATACATGCCTTTGAAAAAAGTTTATGAAGGTTTTTTGGGGCATTTTTCGCCAAAAAATGGATTTTTGGATCCTGAGCCCTGGTTTTACAACCAAATGATCTGAAATTCAGTATAAGGGTACCTTGAACATGTGTCTACAGAATAGCAGTCACATATTTGGCATACAACACTTCCAAATGACTCATTTGGGGAACTTTAATGACTATTTTCAACAAAAAAAGGGCCAAAAGTGCTGTACCCGTTCCATGTTCTATCTAAAGAATGGCCTGTTCCATCCATGGAACACATGTTCCATTGCGGGTTACCTGAGGTCACATTGCACGTAAGTCGTGTGGAATGACCCACACATTCAATTTTATGTACCTATTAAAGACCTTCAAAATGTATCAAATCTCATCATTGTTAGTATTTGCATACCTGTAATAAGATTAGTAAAGCTTTCGAGATTCAATGTGCTTGTTCTTGCATCTTTGTTCTCAATTACATAGCTACTATATAATTCATTTATTTGAGAATCTTTACCAGTTTTACACTGGGGTAAGTTTGGAATAGACCACTTTTGCGTGGGAGGGAGATGGACTGAAATATGCTGTATTTGCTCCCAAGCAAATGTCGGCCTCTCTAGTTCACTATATGTTTACGGTAGCGGTCTGAGAAAAATGGAGGTGTTCGTGGAACTACAATCAATTATGTAATAAGTTCACAATGGTGGCAGGTGCAGAAAAAGGAAAATCGAGGACTTATTTGTTTGGTACAGAAGTGACCATGAAAACTGCGAAGTCACATAATAGTACCGTGAAAAAAAATCAGGGATTACAGTATTAATCTTTCCTGTTTCATGTCTTGTATTTGTTGGTAGTACAGAAGAAAAGGTATGCCCGGCCTATAAAAAATAGTGTGGTATTATTTCATGCAAATATTAAGCAAAAATGTGTTAAGTGTTAGTAAATGTATTGCCCAACATACATGTATGTAACTAATTTCTCACTGACAGGTTGCTGAATTCAAACAAATAAGAGTTACTGTAACAGTGAATTGTTAAAATGGTCTTCCCACAGGCATGGAGGAATGGATAGTGTGGTATACAGATTGGAAACAATGAGAAATTTATAGAAAAAAATTATTGAAATAAATTTATTGAAAAAAAAAGAAAACAAGATATTCCCAACAACTATAATTTTTTGAGGCATAAAATCTTTAATACCTTGATACCTTGATACCGTCTACAGTCGAGTAAGGCTTCTTCCTGCCTGTCGTGGACTGGTCTAGTCGCTTTCCTCGTACTTCAAGTGCTCCCAGTGTCGATCCAATCTTGTTTTGAACTGGTTGACAGAATCGCTGGCTACTACACTCGACGGCAGCGAGTTCCAGTCTTTGATGACCCTCACACTGAAAGCATGTTGTCTACTTCTTGACTTGGCCAGTGGTACCTTCAGCTTGAAGTTGTGACCTCTTGTTGTTCCCTTTGCTAACTCGAAGAAACTGTCTGACTGTACTCTTTCCTGCCCAGTCAGGAACTTGAACACCTGAATCATATCACCCCTTCTTCTTCTGTACCCCAAGGACGGTAGTTTAAGTCTTTTTAGTCTTTCACTGTAGGGGAGCTCCCTGAACCCAGGAACCAGTTTTGTCGCTCTTCTCTGTACTGCCTCTACTTTCTGCTGATCGAGGGAGTAGTGGGGGCCCCAGATTACATTCCCATATTCCAGGTGGGGACGCACCATGGTCTTGAAGAGTATGGGGACTGTGTCTTTATCCAAGTTGTAGAAGGTTCTCTTAATCAAGCCCAAGACTTGGTTTCCTTTGTTAGCAGCTTTTGCTGTGTGGCAGTGAAATGAGAGCTGGTTGTCAATTGTTACGCCTAATGTCTATTCATATTCCGTATCGCCTGAGGTTTTGGTCTGACTCGAAAAGAAAAAACAAGAAATTGTCAACGACTACAATTTTTTGTTAGTATGTCTTGTTCTGTATATTATGATATCAGCTGACCGTGACCTTGTGTCCCGTACAGTGTACCGACCGTCAGGAGAGAGATCGCCTGGTGCTGTTTCTCAACAAACTCATCCTCAACAAGGTCAGAAACTTCATGCTTGTAAAAGTTTTCCCAAGTTTTGATCGTAACATAGTTCTAAGAGGAATCTACCACTCTTATATTTAGACATACCACAGATTTGAAAAGAAACTAAAATTGAATCAGCACAAATATAAAGATCAAGCTAATAATGATTACAATCCACTCTCATTCTGTAACTGAAGACAAAATCTTGGATGACAAGAAAGTGATCTGTCACACAAAATAACAGCATGTAACAGAAACTTGCTTACTTACACAGTACATTGTCAATGGAACTCTTTCCTCTTTCAGAAAAACGTGAAAGAAAAGATTGGATTGTAGCAGGAAATAAAGATCGACATTTGAGAATTCAGGAAGCTGAGGCTTGTATACCTCCTGGAAGTCCAAAATCTCTGATATCTTGTTGTGGTTGTGCTTACTGATGTTGTCAAGCCACCTGTTTTGTCTTCCAGAGAAACGTGAAAGAACTGATGGACGCCAACGGGGTGAAGATCCTGGTTGACCTTCTGACCTTGGCTCACCTTCACACGTCCCGCGCCGTCGTGCCGACGCAGACCAACGTGATCGAGGCGTCGCCGGACATGATGCGGGAGAGCGAGAAGGAGTGGTACTACGGAAACGCTGACAAGGAGAGGCTCGGGCCGTACAGCATTAATGAGGTGAGAGAAAAACCCTAGATTTTTCATGTGGCAACTTGTACCATTAAGGCATTATGGAATGAATGTCTCAAGCAGGGTCTGAAGTATAGGAAAGTCTAGAGCTGGACAGCCAGAAGAAATCACCAGGGTGTTGCTAGTTATGCACAAGTGTTTTGAAATTCATCATTCATAACTTGGTTTTACCTGGTAACTAATTTAAGCACAGAAGCAACCGTTTGAGATTATTGGAGGTCCATTCAATACTGAGTATTCTACAAAAGATATGTCGTGATTGTATACCATGGGATGAGATACGTACACACAATATCTGTCTTTGTTAACAAGTGAACTGGATAGACACACAGTACATCACTCACTGTACAGTTTATCGTCTGTTGTTTCCCGTCTTCCGAGGGTTACACTTACTTGCACAGCATCATGAGACTTGATGGCAGCCCACCACTTGCCTCTGTCCTGTGGTTTGATGTTATGTAGGTTCAAGTGGAGGATGTCCTCCCTTATGTTGTCAAACCATCTTCTTCTTTGGTTAACCACGAGGGTTTAGACCTTCCACATCCAGTGTGAGGATCTTCTTAGGCCATTTGTCACTGTCAATTCTTTGGAGGTGGCCATACCAAATGTTTTCCATTCCATCCCCAGATGAAGGGGTTTTGGGAGGAGGTTGTGATCATGGCGAAGACATACTGTCCCAGGCCTGTAAAAGTTACCAATACCTACAAGCACACACAATATCTGTCTTTGTTAGCAAGTGAACCGTAAATTGTTTTCCATTCCTTCTTTAGATGAAGGAGTTTTGGGAGGAGGGTGTGATCACAGCTAAGACGCGGTGCTGGGCGCAGGGTATGGACGGGTGGCGGCCGCTCCACAACATCCCGCAGCTGAAGTGGTGTCTGCTGGCCTCCAGTCAACCCGTCATGAACGAGTCTGAACTCGCTACTCTCATCCTCAACATGCTCATCAGGATATGTGAATATTATCCCAGCAGGTGGGCTGGTCAATCAATCAATCTAAATCGGTGTCTAATGTTAGAATGCGCCAAGCTCATTCTCAGCAGGTGGGCTGGTCAATTAATGCTGTAATAAATGAGTTCAAGATAAATCGATAAGTCAGTCAATATACCATGTACATTTGTATATGATCATCATTGATCAACCAGCCAAACCTATGACAGTGTGAACATTGTTAACATCCTCATCAAAATAGTAAAAATTACTTAGTTGGCAAGCTAAAGTATTATAGTTAAGCAATTAATCAAGGAATTGATACAATCTCATGTAAATACAATGTTATGTCTACTTTGGCTTGGTATATTCTTTTGGAAAATAGCAGACTCAACAGCTATAAAAGGGATGAATATACCAGGCTAGTACATGACGTGTACATGTTGTAGTTTGTACATCAAAGAAGTAAACTCAGTATCTACTAGACTAATTATAAGTATGTTTGACTTGTCTAACTTCTCTGATGATAAACCAGGGACCCTGATGGAGCGATCATCCGTCCTCTGCCCAGAGCCAAGAGACTGGTGGCAGAAACAACATGTCTGCCACACATTGTACAGGTTAGTAGCTAGAGAACAGGCATTGTAATAACCTTCTACAGTGCTGAAAACATCGAAAACTGTTTACAACTTTGTTGAAGTCATTTTGTTGATAAATGATAGTTGGATGATGATGATGTTAGTTGGATTTGCCTCTTTGAGCCTTTGTTTAGTGCTGGTGTGATGCTTTTATATATTTTTCTTTTCAAGATGTTTAGTTAGAATTCTAGACAAAAAAATGGCCATATTCCTTTGTACAAGACATGTGTTAGTCAAAGTTATTGGATTTTGGATTTGTTATCCTGGAGAATAGCAAATTTTTGACATTTTAGGTTCCCCCTTTCTTTTCCAATGTGATAGGTCTTTCCCGTGTCTCTATGTCTAGCTTGTGACTGGTTTGTTTAGCTGTTACTGACCTTTGTCCTTGAATCTTGATGTACGACCTGACCTTGTGATTGATTGTTTTGTGCAGCTGCTGCTGACCTTTGACCCAGTGCTTGTTGAGAAGGTTGCCACGGTGATGTGGCACATCATGCAGGACAACCCGCAGCTGCCGCGGCTGTACCTGAGCGGGGTCTTCTTCTTCATCATGATGTACACAGGGTCAAACATTGTTCCTGTGGCAAGGTCAGAACAGACCGTATAACATGATAATCATTGTTATTATAACACAATATCACAGAGTTTGGTTGCCTAGTTACATGTAATGATTATTGCAGTTACATGAAGTCTTGCAGTCTTTGATGGTCTTCTTCATCATGATGTACACAGGGTCCTACATCGTGCCTGTCGCAAAGTCAAGGCAGACTGCATAACACAATAACACAAGAACACAAATTTTGGTTGGCTAGCTACCTGTAATCATGGTCTGACTTCTTCTTCATCATGATGTACACAGGCTCCAACATCGTGCCTGTCGCAAGGTCAGGGAAAACTGCAAGAAATGGGGAATAATGTAGTTTTTGAGCACATCGGCAGAACGTATTGCACCTGCACAAAACTTGTAATGTAGTGTGGAAGAACATCTCATATGAGGTCGCATTCGTGTATATAAGGTTAACATTCCGTCTGTAATTTCCAAATCTTGTGTCGGAAAATGTCGTCTGCAACAAGCAAAATTCTGATGCAACGTTGACCAAGAGTCAAACTAAAACTGTGAAAACTGGAGGTTTTGCCAGTTTACTGTAGTAGTAAAAATGTATGAAATTTAGAATCTGCATGAATTTTGGCTATTTTTTACTCTCAGGCATTCACTAAAATATTGTAAAAATAACATACAGCTGATAGCTGTTCTTTATTGACATTGTACAGTCCTGTATAATACACTTTTGAAGAGAGTAAGTCTAAGAACACTTCTCTCCTCCCTGCAGGTTCCTGAAGTACACGCACACCCAGCAGGCGTTCCGCGCGGAGGACGCCAAGTCTAGTGACATCATGCAGCGGAGCATCCTGGGACAGATCCTGCCCGAGGCCATGGTCCACTACCTGGAGAACTACGGCGCCGAAAAGTTCAGCGAAATTTTCCTGGGAGAGTTCGACACGCCCGAGGCCATCTGGAGCAGTGAGATGAGGTGGAGTCATCCTTGGATAAAGTTGTTTTCATGCCTTCTGTCCTCACATAATTAGTAGCCTTAAATCTTAAAAGATTGTTAGTTTACTGTGCTGAAAAGTTCAGCGAGATTTTCCTGGGAGAGTTCGACACGCCGGAGGCCATCTGGAGCAGTGAGATGGCAGGTGGGGTCATCCTCGGAGAAAGATGTTTTCATTCCTTCTGTCCTCATATAAGTAGTAACATAGCAAATTGTGAGAGTATGGTGCTGAAAAGTTCAGCGGGATTTTCCTGGGAGGGTTCAACACACCGGAGGCCATCTGGAGCAGCGTGATAAGAAATTTTCTTTACTGTTTTTATTAAGCAATGAGTTAGAGAAGAAAGTTAATTGATGTAGAGTTTGAGGTAGAGGTGAGGCATAATAAGATGAGCTGAGTTCATTCTTTGAGAACTGTTGTTCTCTTCATTTTTTTCTGTTTCAATTTGGTAAGTAGAAGCCCCTGACAGTGAGATCTTCCTGTCGTAAATTTGAGACACCCGAGGCCATCTACAGCATTGAGAAACTAGCTTTGTTATGACATCTTTGAATACAGAAGGAAATCATAAATCATATTCTTTTTGTATTTCTGTTGAGTTTATAGTCATTCCAAGGCAAGTTTGACACACAGGAGGCCACTTGATGCAGTGACTATTCTCTTATTTTCCAGACGTATGATGATAGAGAAGATTGCAGCCCACATCGCAGACTTCTCCCCCCGGCTCCAGTCCAACACCCGCGCCCTGTACCAATACTGCCCCATCCCCCACATCTCATACCCCCCGCTAGAGAATGAACTCTTCTGCAACATCTACTACCTACGCAACCTCTGCAACACCACCAAGTTCCCCGACTGGCCAATCAAGGAGCCTGTAAGTTAGCTTTCACTGCACGTAACCAATCAGAAAAGCTGTATCTACTCTGAAAGGTATCTTTGAAGGTTTGGCCAATCAGAGTGATTGTAAGTTAGCTTGCACCAGCCAATCAGAAAAGTTGTGTCTCAAAATGTCTGGCCAATAACAACTGTATCTCTGAAAGTTGGTCTAATTAGGGAGCTTGTAAGATAGCTTGGACTAACCAATAGCTGTATTCTGTTAAGTCTGGCCAACCTGCGCGTTCTTGTTTTAATTTATTTAAAGCTTATTGGGTAAAACTTTAAGATTTTCACATAACCTCCATTGCCTTTCGTTGAAGAATGACCAAAACCATCAGATTCTACAGTACATGATTGTACAGTCAAAACTGTGTATGTCCAACTATCAGGACATCTTTCACATGTATGTACAGCCACTGGCTCCAGCCTATCTGTAGTCTTTGAGAATGTACATGTATTATGTGGATCTTACGATGCCGAATCTTAACCTGTCCAGGTGAAGCTACTTAAAGACATCCTGGAGGCGTGGAAGGCTGAGGTGGAGAAGAAGCCGCCGTCCATGTCTGTGGAGGAGGCTTACGATGTGCTGCATCTGCCCAAGGGGGAGGGAGGGTGAGTGTGTGTGTGGGGGGGAGGGTGTTCTTTAAAATTTGGGCTCAAATCTTTGGCAGTTATAGTTGTGTAAAGTTTAGTAATTCTGTTTTTAAAGAAGTTCATATATGGTACCTCCTATAAATGTGTGAGGTTTGGCTCTGAAAATAAGTATAATTATATACTAGTATAAAATCAAAAGCTTTGAAATCTTTGTCAATGATAGTTACCATGTTGCAAAGTCGCAAAGTCTGAATGTTTTTGAAAACTGGTATCATAATCATCTGACTTAAGAATATGAAGGTTTAACTTAGATCCTCCAAATTGATTACTGTTCATAGTATGGACACATACAGTACATTGATTTGCTCATGTTTCCTTTGAATGAAACTGTAATAAAATGTTTCCTTTGTCTGCAGTCATGAAGAAGGGAAGATCCGTAAAGCGTACTTTCGGCTGGCCCAGAAGTACCATCCTGACAAGAACCCTGAGGGCAGGGTACGTAAGATGTTAAGGAGCAGGCAGAGGTGCTCTGTCTTCATCTTTGTTGAGCCAGCTTTCTCCTGTCCGTTTCTTTTCTTTGATTTGTCTTTGTCACTCTTAATTTCATACTACTTTGAGGCTTATGCAGAAGTGCTCTGTCTGAAAACTTTGTTGAGTCAGACATAGGAGATGTTTTTTGTCACAACCAGCTTTCTCCTGTTCATTTTTTTCTTTGTTTATTTCACCAGCTAGTCATTAGGTAACATCACAGTTGCAGAGAGTTTCATGGAGTTTCTTTGTTTTTCTTTTAATGTCTCATGTTATTTTACTTGCACTGCTCTGTCCCTTTTTACTAGTTTTCTTTTTTTGTTTAGAAATGTTTTGTCACAATGTCCATGTTTTTCTTTGTTTGTGTGTTTCTGTACTGTTTGTATCTGTCCCTTCCCAAGACCCCAGTGTTGTTTAAGGTAGGGACTTGTGTGGGATTGCTTAAGACCTTCATCTTGTAAATTGATGATGAAATGAAAGCTGTAGGATGAAGTACTTTGTAAGGGGTTAGAGGTTGTAAAGAATCTGCATGAAATTGTTAAACAATGCGGCCCACGTACATAGACAGGCTACCACTGGTGCAGTTTTGTGAAGCTTTAAGATTTAAGTTTTGCTCATATAACATCCGTGTCCATAATATCACCAGGGTCCATAATATCGCCACCTTGAGAAACAGAGATATTTCTACTGCAACATACTTTTGGTATGCACTTCTTCACGCCTCAAATGTACATACCTAGAGAATGTTACAGTAAAAATATCTTTAAGCACACTTTTTCTCAAGGTGGCGATATTATGGACCCTGGTGATAATATGGACACAGATGTTACATTTTATGTCATAATTACTCAGCTTTCAGCACCAAGGACAGGGATGACAGTATAAAAAACCTGGTTTATCAAAATCACAACAAGAAAACTGAACTTGTGTGTAATAAATCCAAAAAGAAGAAGCTCTTAGAAGTTTTGCTTGACATCACATCTTTTTATTTTAAATGATGACAACAATAGTCTTATTCTATTTCCATAGTCTGTCTTATTCTATTTCCGTAGCCTGTTTTTGTAGAAAATGTTTGAGAAGGTGAACAAGGCTCATGTACAGTTATGTCTTAATCACTCACCTTTCAGCACCAAGGACAGTATCAAAAACAGCATACCAGCTATCATGAGAAAACTTGTATGTTTAAAAAAATTCTGAGAAGTCAATCAACAAGCTAAATTGAAATGATCTTGTTTGAAATAAAGTGTACAATATGTAAGTTTGGAGTTTATAAAGTTGATGAGTTTTTTTGCTTTATGTCTAACCTTCATCGACGTATCTGATTCATTACAATATCCTTGAAGAAAATCAGAAGAAAAGCCCTTAGAGGTTTTGCATGACATCATGTAGCTTTGTTTGAAATGAAGAGAAGGATAACCTTACTTTCCACGGTCTGTTTTCGCAGGAAATGTTTGAGAAGGTGAACAAGGCGTACGAGTTCCTCTGCAGCAAGTCTTCCCAGCGTCCCGAGGGGCCGGACCCGATGAACATCGTCCTCATCCTCCAATCACAGAGCATCCTCTTCAAGAGATACCGGGACGGTGAGACGTTTGCCTTGCAAACATTATGTCATAGATGAAGCAGAAGAAGATTTTGTACCTTTCTTAAACGATCAGAATGTTTGAAAACTTGCATACTGTGTATTTTGGAAAAAGAGCATCTTTGACAAATGGCCTTGTAGATTATTGAACAGTTTTGTTGATTTCTTGTCGATGATATTTTGTCATCAGGATCCAATAATTTGAACTTATAAGCCAGCTTTTTTGACAACTCTCCAGTGTCACTAATGAAAGGTACCTGAAACATCTGACAGTTTCCAAAATCATATCCAGTTCCTTTAGTAACTGTTTTTTAGTGTATCTTATTACCTTATGTCTAACCTTCACCAACATATCAGGATCCTGCTATAACAATTTTTTCTATGATATCTTTATATTGCATCTTGTGTGTTCCAGTTCTGGCACCTTACAAGTACGCCGGTTACCCCATGCTCATCAAAACCATCCGCATGGAAACCGGCGACGACCAGCTGTTCTCCAAGTCCGCGCCGCTCCTGACGGCCGCGAGCGAACTCGCCTTCCACACAGTGAACTGCTCGGCGCTGAACGCTGAGGAGCTGCGGAGAGAGAACGGCATCGAGGTGCTGCAGGAGGCGTTCTCACGATGTGTGAGCGTGCTAAGCAAGTCCAGCAAACCTGACGATCTCGCTGTGCAGGTGGGGAGGGTTGGAAGTATTGTTTTGGGTGGCTGAGTTGTAGGTTTGTGTGTCTGTGTGTCTGGACTCGCGGTGTCCAGCAAACCAGCCAGTCCAGCAAAGCTGACGACCTCGCCGTGCAGGTGGGCCTGGGAGTATTGTTTTGGGTGGCTGAACTGTGGGTTTGTCTGTCTGTGTGTCTGGACTCGTGGTGTGTGAGCATGCTCAGCAAGTCCAGCAAACCTGACGACCTGGCAGTGCAGGTGAGCCTGGGATTATTGTTTTGGGTGGCTGAGCTGTGGGTTTGTGTGTCTGTGTGTCTGGACTCGCGGTGTGTGAGCGTGCTGAGCAAGTCCAGCAAACCTGACGATCTGGCCGTGCAGGTGAGTCTGGGGGAGTATTGTTTTGGGTGGCTGAGCTGTGGGTTTGTGTGTCTGGGCGTTCTGAGCAAGTCCAAAAAACTTGCCGATCTCGCTGTGCAGGTGGGCCTGGAAGTATTGTTTTCCTGGAAGTATTGTTTTGGGTGGCTGAGCTGTGGGTTTGTGTGTCTGGACTCGCGGTGTCCAGCAAACCAGCCAGTCCAGCAAAGCTGACGACCTCGCCGTGCAGGTGGGCCTGGGAGTATTGTTTTGGGTGGCTGAGCTGTGGGTTTGTGTGTCTGTGTGTCTGGACTCACGGTGTGTGAGCGTGCTGAGCAAGTCCAGCAAACCTGACGATCTGGCCGTGCAGGTGAGCCTGGGGGAGTATTGTTTTGGGTGGCTGAGCTGTGGGTTTGTGTGTCTGGACTGAGTCGGTGGACAGCATTTGAGCGGTGTGCGAGCGTGCTCAGCAAGTCCAGCTAACCTGACGTGAGTGTGCAGGTGGGGAGGATTGGAAATATTGTTTTGGGTGGCTGAGCTGTCAGTTTGTGTGTCTGTTTTTTTCTTTGCGTTCTGAGCAAGTAAAAAAAACTTGCCGATCTCGCTGTGCAGGTGGGCCTGGAAGTATTGTTTTCCTGGAAGTATTGTTTTGGGTGGCTGAGCTGTGGGCTTGTGTCTCTGTGTGTCTGGAATGAGAAGGTTTCAGGTGCAAGAATCTGACATGGAGCCAGCAGGAATTAGAGGTAACTTCTGGCAGTCTAAAGCATACATGTTGAGATCATAGTTACCAGTACACATGGAAAGTGTTCAAACCCAGGGCCTTCAGATTCTAAGTCAACAACCCTAACCACCTTCCCACCTTACTACAAGTTGTGTATGACTCTTTTTGTTGTTTCTCCAGGTGTGCATGCACATTAGCAGGTGTTACGCTGTAGCTGCGCAGTTTGAGGGCTGCAGGGAGAAGATCATCGAAATCCCAGCTATCATCAAGGACCTGTGCAGGATCCTGTACTATAAGGTGGGTACAGAAATATGATAGAAGGATGATGGCTTTTGATGAAATAATAGACCAATATATATCTAGTACTCTATACAATAGTACTAGAACTCTATGCAACAGCACTAGCAGTCTATACAATAGTATTAGCACTATGCAACAGTACTAGCACTCTATACAATAGTATTAGCACTATGCAACAGTACTAGCACTCTATACAATAGTATTAGCACTATGCAACAGTACTAGCACTCTATGCAACAGAGATTGGAAATATTTGCAGTACTTTAACCTTCTTTAAATTACATTTTGCATGCCATTACTGCACATAATACATACTGTATACATAGCATAGCTGTCCTTGGTGCTGAATGCCATCCATGACATAATTGCTTGTACAACAGTACTGTACTAGTAGTTCAATATCCTAGTGTCAGGTGATATTTTTGAAGATAGAAGTGTAATAGCTAGTTCAAAAGATACATATCAATAGCTAGATTAGATATAATGACTTGATTTCCATACATCTAGACCAGTATACATCCAGCACTATAGGTGTTTGTATTGCTACTGTTTCTAAGTCTTATAGCTTTCCTGTTCCCCATGCAGGACCTGCCTCGTATGTGCAGTGTGGCTACGGAGTGTGTCACTTTTTAACTTAGTAAATATCAATGCCATTCAGGCAACACTGTGACATCTGCAATGCTGATATGTCAATAAAGAAATTGAATTTTAAAGCTTTAATGTACCCCCTGCAGGACCTGCCTCGTATGTGCAGTGTGGCTACAGAGTGTGTGTCTGCGTTCTGTGTGGATTACTACCTGCAGAACCACCTGCTGCAGGCAGGTGTGCTGTGGCACCTGCTGCTGTACCTGTTCCACTACGACTACACCCTGGAGGAGGGCGGGGTCGAGAAGTCGGACGAGTCTAACCAGCAGGTACGGTGGGGGGGCAGCATTTTTTTGCAAATCGCTTAACCCTCACTAGCACTGTCACATGCACTTCCTATACCTAGGGTTGAAATTGTTGGTTATCCCAAACAATTTGATTTTTTTGTTCTCAGATTTTTTTGGAAAATATGCTGAATTAGAAAAACATGACGAAAAACAGAGGCTGAGAAACAGATTTATGTCTAAGTTTTACAGAATGAATACTGTCAAGATTTTTCCCCTGCTTGAAACATCTGTGACCATCTCCAAAATCATATCCATTTGTTTGAGTGACTGTTTTTTGGCATATCTTATTACCTGAATGTTTAACCTTAATCAAAGTTTTCTTCCTGCCCTTTTATGATGTCTCCTTGCTATTTTTTCACCTTCAAATGTCAGAAAACCAAGGAAACAAATTGGTAGGGCCTTATGATAAATCATGCAATGAAAATGTCTTGTACTGTCAGACTTGTCTGGTGAAAGGTTAAAGGTGAAAGGTTGCTGAGTTCTGAAGTATTGGTTGTCTGACCTTGCGTGAGTGGTTACCATGGCAACACATTGACAGACAGGTGTTCCTACACTCTCCACTGCTTGTATGATCTTGAATGATTGCTGTTTCTATGGTGATTCCTTGATTGACAGCTCTCCTCTTTTCCATGCTTCTCAAGTCGGAGTTTGACCACCCAAATAACTTGCAAGTAAGTCACGTCGCAAAACACTTTCTGCAGCCCTTTGTTGCATCTGTTTTCTTCAGTTTCTATTGAATGTACATGTCGTGATCACACAATGTTACATAATGGGTTATGTTGGGCCATGTTGATTTGATTATATGGATGACGTCCGCGCGCGCATGAATTTTCGGCCGTTTCCAAAAAAAAAAAAGTTTTCAGCCATACTGTAAATCGTACAAAACAGTTGCAAAATGAGCAAAAATATACCATAAGTTACAAAAAATTAATAAAAACTATACCAATGTCGTAGAATGCCAAAATCAAACGCAAAAAGACGAAATTGTAAAGAAATGAACTTGAAGACTAGATTATTCGCCAAACCATATTCTGTGCCATTTGCTCAACCCTCATGACCACGTAGATTTCATAATGAAAAGAACTTTTTTTTTGCAAAACTTTTTTTTATTCGCACGCGCGCATCAGTTTTGGCGCTCCCGGAGGATGTCATCCATATAATCAAATCAACATGGCCTTGGGTAGAAACACTAGCATGAAAGTTCCTCTCTGTTCACTTGGTAAGTTCCATTATGTAAAAGTGTAACTGTTCAAAAAAAGATAGTTGGTGAAGACTGAGTGAGCCAGTCAAAAATTCAGGTGAGTCTGAGTTACATGTAATTGGAAAACAGTAACTATTGAACTTTTACATAAAGGAACAATTCATGTTATGCTTACTACTGTAACAATGACCAGTCAGGTAGTTCACAAACCATGTGTCTGTCTAACACAGCACGACACTAACAACATGAGCTGTCAGTTGTTTTCTCCTAACATCTCCAGAACCAGCCTGGATGATATCTTGAGGCTTAGCACATCCATGGTCATTTTACATAGTATTACATGTTTTACTTCTATGTACAATATTTGTGAACCTGACTGGACCAAACATCATTGATAAACTTACATTAGTTTACATACACTGGGTTTTAAATCTAGACCATCTTACTTCCAGCATCCTTGATGAGCAATCTCAAGGATGCTGCTATGTACACACTTCCCATTGAGACTGGACCATACATAGGTAGAATTTTGGGTTAGATTTAAAGTTTTGAACCTCAACAATTTTTTATTTTTTTCAGGAGGTGGCTAACAACCTAGCCCGCCTGAGTATGCTGGCGCTGGCCCGGTTGGGCGGCTACCTGGACGAGGACCAGAAGACACCAGACAACCCCGCGGTGAAGAGGTCCATCGCTGCCATGTTAACTCCTTACCTCAGCAGGCAACTCAGCAAGGAGGACCCAAGGGAGGTAGGTCACAGGTCAGGGGTCAGGTACATACAGAGGTCAAAGGGGAGGTTAGAATTCCTGTGTGAGAAGTCCTGGCATTGGACATTTAGACATTGGAATCCATAGCAGCTATGTTATATTGGTAGCAAGTAGGACCCACGGGAGGTAGGTCACAGGTCAGGGGTGAGGTACAGATGTCATTTACTAAGCTAAAATGTGATTTCAAACCAGTTGAGCTAAACTGAACTCAATAATTAAAACATGAGTTTAGCTCTGCTGTGGCTTTGTACTCAGTCTGGGAGAAATTTCCCTATCTCTTTTTAACAAGTACGATGAACAGTTGACCATGGCTTAACGTCCCTTTTCAACAGAGAACTCATACCTGATCTCATATTACATGTCTGCTCTTCTTCTTCAAACCAGTTGTAGAATCATATCTAAACTTTTAGATACATTTTGAATTATCTTAGATAGATGTTGTATCTGGATGGTATATTCTATTATACATTTTAACTGCTGACACTTTCCTCTTTAGGTGCTGAAGATCCTGAACAGTAACACTGAGAACCCGTACCTAATCTGGGACAACGGGACGCGGCTGGAGCTGACAGAGTTCCTGCAGACTCAGCAGAGCAACAAGATCCGTACCGGGGAGTGTGACCCGTCGTACGGCGCAGACTTCGCCTTCACCATCCACGAGAAGGAGCTGCAGGTCGGAGAGATCTACGTCAGGGTGTACAACGAGCAGCCAACATTCCCACTGGAGGTGAGATTGTATATTTTTTAATGTAATATTGTATTTGCAGGTTATAGCTATAGTTGGGGTCGGCTTGTGTTACAGAGAAATGAGGATGTATATGTATTACAAACAACCAAGCATCCCACCAATGGTTTTTCTTATTTTATTTAATTCACCTTAAATTCATATTTAGTGAGCATTGGAAAAAAAGCGTAATATATGAATCCTCTGCTGGTAGAATAACAAAATGAGAACAACACTAGAGGTCATTCAGCACCTAGGACAGGGATGACAGTGTCAAAACTTCACAATTGTTGTTATAATGACCTCAAAACAAGCTGCGAAATTTGTAATAGTCAATCCCTGTATTGATTATTGTCATTGACAATGATGTATTTTTTTGTATTTCAGGATGCTAAAGGCTTCACAAGAAAATTGATCGACTTCTTGGGTTCTCAAGCAGAGGTGAGCTTCATTTCTTTCTTCATTTGATTTGATGTTACGTTTTTTGTTCAGTGCCAGCCTTGGTTATAGCAGTATTTTCTGTCGCACAGTAACTGATGATTTTTTTTCTTGTACATTAGTACCTGCACTCCCTACTGGCACTGTCCCAGGGCACGATGGACACCACGAAGGAGAGTAACAAGCTGCGGCTGAGGGATGTGGAGATGGCTCTGGAGGCCCTCAGGAACGTCATTAGGAACAACCCTGGTAAGGCCACACCAATTTATTTCCTTGGTTAACGGATTCGCCGCTTCGTTTTTTTGCCAAAATGAAATAAAAATAAAAACAGAACAAAAATCCATACTCTCGGGTCCCGAATTGGGGCCCCAAAATCCACCCCGTACGTTGTAATTTTTCAAAATTTGGGCATAGTTAACAGCGTTAAAAATACATTGCTTCAAGGCAGAAACATTTTTCTGTGTGCAATTTGTTCGGAAAGCTAGGTTGCCTCTTCAAAAGTTCGTCAAAAAAATTCTTTTGATATAGAACTCGCCCCCCACCCCCTTTGCACATGTCATGGGACAAAACTTCACTGACGACAGTCAAACGTACGGCAGATTTACTAAGTCATCGTGCCTGTAACAACATATCATCTCCCTTTTAGATATATATTATATTTCATTTAGAAACACGTATTGTGTCGGAAACATGTGCTAGTAACGGGCGTTAAAAGTAATCGGCCAAACGTATAAACTCGGCCTGGGCGGCACATGCACACACACCTTCAAAACGATCTTTTTTCCAGGGAATATGTAAAAATAACACGACATAACAATGTATTCTGACATCACAAACTGTATTACTCTCAAAAAGTACAAAATCCTACCACAAACATGGGAATTTGGCAAAGCAAAAAGTCCTCCATGCACGTACATGTAAGTCTTTCTCACGGTCGGAAGAGTCCACTTCGAGTAGGGGGAAACGGTTTCTTTCAATTATAGAAATTACTCTGTGAAAAATACTACATGTGCATGTGGCATTCTAACAAAGTTACATCTTATTTAGATACCTATAAACAGGAGTACAATTGCAAATAATGCATCAATTATTACATCTAAATTTTTTAATAAAATGATTCCCCCTACAAATAAAAATCCCCATACATCAAAGACTTTATAGTGAAACCCTAGACCATTGAATTTGTGGCAACTTGAAGAGTGTGTCATTGTGGCTATTTGTTTGAATGATGGCTATGTATAATGTATCTGTAGCATACCTAAAGTGTATAATGGGAAATATAAAATGTATACTACCGGTAGTCTTTGGGAGTTGGGAAAAGATAAAAAAAAGAAATAAAATATCTGTAAAAGTAGTTAATTCTTTTGCCAATAACTTTTACACATTCCTGGAAATTTGTCTAAAGCATATATTTAGGATACTAGTATTGTAAATTTCAAGCTCTAAATAACTTCCATATCAGCCAGACACAATAGAATGCCCAGCCCAGTGGTAAGCTGTGTGCCCTGAACTGTAAGAAAACAATGGGATCTGAACAGAGCACCCTGATTTAAACCACTCTTTGGAACTTTGAAAGATGAATAAAAGTGAAACCAGTTGGATGGGAGTCTTGTCAACTGACAGTTTGTTGTTCATACAGTAAAGGTGTGTATCTTGCAAAATAATACGAATAATTGTAAAGGGATGTAAGAGAAGTTGCTCATGTACATGTAATAATGGTCCTTTCAGTTCAATAAGTGTCTAATATAATATCATTTTGTAACTTAACTTAATGGATTGCTTACTACATGGCTGTATGGCAGGTGGTCTCAAATTTTTATTTTTATTTTTATTTCGCCCGCCCGCTCCATTTTTTTTCTAGAAAAATCCGTTAACCAAGAAATTAAATTGGTGTGGCCTAAGGACTAACCCTTACAATAACCCCAGGAACAACCCTGGTAAATTCTAACCCTTACAATAACCCCAGGAACAACCCTGGTAAATTCTAATCCTTACAATAACCCCAGGAACAACCCTGGTAAGGTGTAACCCTAACCCTAACCCAGGTAACCAGAGACAACTATACTTATTGCCCTTCCTATCTTATTATGCCCTGGAGGCCCTCAGGAATGTCATCAGGAACAACCCTGGTAAGGTCTGACCCTAACCATAACCCAGGTAACTCCTAACCCTAACCCTAACCCTAACCCAGGTAACCAGAGACAACTGTACCTACTTCCTTTCCTATCTTATTATGCTCTGGAGGCCCTCAGGAACGTCATCAGAAACAACCCTGGTAAGGACTAGTAGGGAAAATGTTGTCTGAGTTTAGTCCTGAAAAAGCCACACAGACTCCTTAGTATACGGCACTAAAAAAAAAAAAAAAAAAAATTGATTTGAAAGCAAGCCTTACGTTTACTTAGACCAAGTTGATTTTCCAACAAGCACGTGTTTCTAAGAAACCATTTCATTTTTCACTGAAGGGCACTGAAGTTGTGTGCTTGGGTCACCTGTTTCTAAGAAACCATTTTGATTTTCAAACAGGCACTGAAGTTATGTGCCTGAGTGACCTGTAATGTTTCAAAGAAACCATGTCATGTTTCTAGTGACATGTCATGTCATGTCATGAAACCATGCACAGAAGTAGTGCCTGGGGCACCTATTTCTAAGAAACTATCTCATTTTCCAACAGGCACAGAAGTAGTATGCCTGGGGCACTTCCGGCTGCTGTTCGCCCTGCTGCGTCTCCATGGCGCCGGGAAGCTGCAGCAGCTGGCCCTGGAGGTCGTGAACTCTGTAACAACCAATCAGGACTGTGTTAACGACATCGCCGACGCCTCAGTGTTACCGTACTTGCTCTTAGTCATCCAATCCCTGCCTAGCAGTAAGTACATGTTATTAAGTATGAATATGTCGCCTATTGGCATTTTGTTACTGTTAATGCAATTTAGATAAGGGTAGCTAAAATTAAACAGGAAATCATCATGTAGAAGTCTATACTTTATCTAATAGGGCCAGAGGGATACATCAAATGTTCCAGTGGCATTTCCACAAACTATGAACAGATCATTTCACAGGCATTTGGCCCTGACTGTGGTGACTTTGTTTACTCAAAGTATTGTTCTCGAGGGTTGTGTGGTCAGTAATATTCTTGTTCTAATAAAGAGTTGGTTTCTGTGGGAAAGAATGAATTCAATTCCTGTTTTATTTGTGTTCCCTGTGCAGGCAGAAGTACAGTACTGGAGAGTCTACATGCTCTGCTGTCCAGCACCAAGATTGTGAAGGAGGCACTAGCAAGGGGTGAGTTGGTTCAACTGGACTATTTTTAAATTAGTAAAGTCATGAAAAATATACTAGATACCATGTGCCCTCATCTTTCAGTACCAAGGACAGGGACGGCAGTGTCAATGTGAAATACATGATAGACACTTGACTCATATACATGTGACCAAAAACACTTCCTACAATAAAAAATACCACTTAGGCCACACCAATTTAATTTCTTGGTTAACGGATTCGCCGCTTCATTTTTTTCTTGTTTGCAAATAAAAAGAAAAATTCAGAATCAACTGCAAAATGATCAACTTTTGCCTTGAACAGTTGAAAAGTTATTTTCTTACTACTTGTTACAGTCATTCCATCTTTCAATGCAGTAGTATCATTAAAAGTTCAAAATTCATAGTTTAAATTTTGAACCTACCTGGTGTGTTGACTTCATGGCTCCTATCGTACCATTTTGGGCCATAATAGGATGCCTACCAGTTTTTATTTTTATTTTTTTTTCGCCCGCCCGCTCCATTATTTTTCTAGGAAGATCCGTTAACCAAGAAATTAAATTGGTGTGGCCTTAGCTCAGCTCTATGAGTTCTTAACTTTGAAGTCCTTAAGTCTTGTATTTGAGTAGGGAAGTACACATGTCGAAGAAAACACAACACTTAATGATTTGAGTAGGGATGCCCTGGTGTGAATTGGCCAAAACCTGCAAAATTTATGTACTTGTGTCACTCCTATGTACAACTTGCACTAACTAGCTTCAACTACAGTACTGGTGTGTTTTTGTATGCATCATTTTACCTTACACATATTGTAGTTAGTACTGACTTAGTGGTGTACTCTACCATTTTGGTAGTTTACCAGTAGTATGATCCAGATTGAGATCCAGATCCTTCTGTCCCCAGGAGCGCTGATCTACCTGCTGGATCTCTTCTGTAACTCCACCCACCCCGGGATCCGGGGACAGACCGCTGAGCTCTTCTCCAAGATGATCGCAGACAAACTGGTGGGACCAAAAATCCGCATCATCCTCAGCAAGTTCCTGCCAGGCATCTTCATGGATGCCATGAGGGACAGCCCTGAAGCTGCTGTGCACATGTTTGAAGGTAAAGACAGGCACTGAAAAATCTGCTGTATGGACAGCTGTAAAAGGCCATAGCCATATTTGTAAGCAGGTAGGCAGTACGTCAATGAAGGTTAGACATCCAGGTAATAAGATACACAAAAAACTGTTACTCAAGCAACTGGATAGTATTTTGGAAATGGTCAGACATTTCAGGTAGCCTCCACTATTTTTCGCCAGTGACACTGGAGACTTGTCAGAAAGGCAGGTTGATAAGCAAGAACTATGATATGCGAATAAGTAAAGATAAAGACAGGTAGGCAGTAGATTAGTTCTGTTATGTACGTTTTTTTTTCTCTTCATCACAGGAACACACGAGAACCCAGAACTGATCTGGAATGACGATGCCAGGGAAAAAGTGTCCAGTGTGGTCAAAAAGATGAAAGACACGTGAGTAACTGTTGGTAGATGTACTCAGGGATTTGTGGTTATACAATTTTTGTGGTTGGCATTCAGTACTAAGGACAGGGAAGCTGTGTCTATGTGATTGTCATTCAGCACCAAGGACAGGGACAGCAGTGTTTGTGTGAATGTTGTTCAGCACCAGAGACAGCAGTGTCAGTATGAATGTCATTGAGCACCAAGAACAGGGACAACAGTGTTTGTGTGAAACCACTGAGACAGCAATGTCAGTATAAATGTCATTCAGCACCAAGGACAGGGACAACAGTGTTGGTGTGAATGTCATCCAGCACCAAGGACAGCAGTGTTACTGTCAATGCAATTCAGCATCAGGGACAGGGATGGCAATGTTGCAAGCTCTTCACTCCCTTTATGTCACATTACTGTGGATTTTCCCCTTTTATTCTTATGATTTTGTCTCAATTCCTTATGTTACACTTAGAGGGCTCTGACAAAGCCATGTAGTCCTCCCAAAATACATGTGAATGAACTGAAACCAGTGATGTACTAGTAACTGTTTGTACACCAACTACAGCCACTATGCAGCACAGAAGGATAACATAGAGGCGAGTTGGAAGCTTCCTGAAGACTTTGCAGTAGTGTACACAGACGTGGAGGGAGAGCTGACGGTGGGGGGAGTGTTCCTCAGACTCTTCATCTCCCAGCCGGGCTGGGTCCTCCGCAAACCCAAGGAGTTCCAGGTCTCACTCACAGAGAGGTGGATAGAACTCACCAGCAAAAACAACCCCGATGTGAGTGTCAGATAATCAATCAATCAATTAATTAATTTGATCAATTAATCAATCAATCATTGTAATAAACCATTTTAGCAGTGGATAGAACTCACCAGCAAAAACAACCCGATGTGAGTGTCAGATAATCAGTCAATCAATTCATTTGATCAATAAGTCAACCAATCACTTATCCATTTTAGTAGTGGATAGAGCTCACCAGCAAAAATAACCTGGATGTAAGTGTCAGTGAGATAATTATTCATTCAATCAATCGTTTAACCATTTTTTGGATTGAAGTCACCAACAAAACATTCTGATTATTGCTCTAAGACTTATAGATGTAACAAATTATAATACATAATTCAGGGGGACAGTTAGTTTCATGTCTCCCTCCTGTCCCTGTATGTTTTGAAGCTTCTAAATGAATAAACAATCTTCAAATTAATGATAGTTTTCTTATTTATCATGTTCAAGTTCTTGGAGAATTTTGAAGTGAAACTGCCTCAAAAGAAGAAGTCAAGCCTAAAAAAACTTGCCTGATGCATGGTTTAGAATGTAGTGTACTGTAGGGAGTAGAGTAAGGGAAAAGTGCTTGCAATTAGCCTATGAGCATCTGTTTAACTTATCATTATCCTCTGTAATTCCAGGGAGAGGTTCTGGAGACCCTGACCACAGCTGTAGTGTCCCTGTTCACGGCACAGCCTCAGCTGGCTGGCAACGCCCCCGGCCTGGGCCACATCCCACAGGTCTTCAAACCCATGTCATCTCGCAACTCTGCCATCCCCAAGTCTGCACTGCTCGTGGTACATGTGCTGGCTACAATGATGTAAGTACTGGTCAAGTAATGGTGTAAAACATGTAGGATAATACATAATTAGATTATATGTTTTGAGTGACATCAATCAATCTTTTTCAGTGTCACTGATAATGAGCTGGACAGTGAAATCATGACACATTTAGTGACCAAAATTTGTCTGTTCTGGCAGTGTTCACAAACAGTGCCACATCATCTATGACATTGCCTGACCATGTCTTCCGTAATGCCGTATATATATAGCATTTGAGGCCATAGTGGCATAATCCACTGTGGAATTGGAAGGCAGAGCCCATCCCTCTCCTTCCACTGCCTTCCACACCTGAGTGGAGTAAGGAAAGTTGTGTCAATGCCACCAATCAGATTGAGCGATCAGAAACTGGTTTCTCCCCACCCCCAGCTATGTGTGACGTCCATGTCTCAGACAGTGTTCACAAACACATTATGTATCTCAATGCCTGACCAATCTGTGATTTCTCCCCACAGATGTGTGTAAGGTCCATGTCTATAACAGTGTTTACAAACGCATTATCTATGACATTGCCTGACCAATCCATAATTTCTCCCCACCATAGCTGTGTGTGACGTCCATGTCCCAGACAGACTGTATCCGGCCCATGATGGTGGCCATGCGAGCGCGGCCGGACATGATCGGTGTCGCCTGCGAGACCTTCTTCAGGATGTTTGAGAAGGACCAGACGGACCTAGTCAAGCAGGTAAGGCAGTCTTAAGACACTGAAGTGTCCTCGACTTCCTTCTCAAGACAATGAAGTGCATGTCTTGAAGTTCTCACTAGCAAGGGAAATGGTCAATTTGTCTGTCCCTTACCTCCTCCCTCATGACCTCAATGAAAAGCAGCTAGCAAGCTTATTTTAGGTTTTGTGAATAAAGAATGGTTCAACCAAACAAAAGGTGTGAGTGTGCACACCTGAAGTCTGTTTCAGTAAAGGTCCTCTTACTTTATTTGCGAAAAACAGATCCTGTATGTATCCTCACCTTTTGAGTAAATGTAATTCAGCACCAAGGACAGGGTTGGCAGTATCAATGTGAAGACAGCGAACTGTCTTGAACTTCTCACTAGCAGCTTCTCATTGTGCACATCTAGTCTGTTTCAGTAAATGTTCTCTTAGACACTGTGTTTAATTGTGAAAAATATACTAGATACGATTTGTGTGAGTGTGATGGCATTCAGCACCAAGGACAGGGATGGCAGTGTCAATGTGATGACAGTGAAGTGTCTAAATAAATTCATTGATTAAAAGCTGTTCATACCTAATTTTTGATTCCCAGGCCATAGAAGCAGAGCTGGTGCAGTACCTGCTTAGGCTGCTAGATGGCGGGCTTGAGCAGGTGGAGAACCCAGCAGGCACCAAGGCACAGATAGTCAAGTCTCTGAAGGCAATGACAAGAAGTTTGGAGTACGGGGAACAGGTAATGACAAGTTTGTTTTGTTTTCTGATGTAAAATTTATGCCAGAAGGCCATAATATCATGTACTTTTTACAGACTTTCAGCTCATGGTTAGGGCCTGTTTCTGGACCGAGAGGTCGGGAGTTTGAATCCTGGCTGTTGCTGTTTGCCCAACATGATTCTTGACAAATTGCAGAGCTATGAGAATTTTCCCAGAACAATGAACCAGTACATAGCATCTGTCTTCTCTGTCACGGCCAGTGGAAGAGTAACTCTTCATTTCCAACTATGTGGAGTGAATAAAGTTGTGCTAAATGCCTTTTCCCAAGGAAACAATTTTGAACCCAATTTGGGTCCTGGGCCAAACAACCTAACCATTACTCCACATGAGTGTGACAGGTTGAATAAAAGTTCTAAACGGGAACTATGCGGCTCCAGATGTCTTACTGATGGACGACTGTGTGTGCAAGATGTCGGTTAGCTTGAGGAATGAATCCCCTCTACTATATACATTACTCCACAAGATGGCACAAAAGTTTCAAGTTCAAGTTCTCTTTCCCTTCCTCCCCTGCAGGTGCAAAGTGTCCTTGACAAGTCGACCGTCTGGACGTCATACAGAGACCAGAAACACGACCTGTTCATCTCACAGACAGCCACAGCTGGATACCTCACAGGTATGTATACTGTACATGTGCTGTATGTGTGGGGTATTGTAGGGACTTGGGTGTACATTTTGTACTCCATGGGTAGTTTTGGAACATGCTTTCCACTCAACAACACAGCCACATAACTAACATCCATCCCTGTGAAATTGGAAAATTGTACAGTTACAGTTTTGTATTTCCTTCCTATCTTAGCTTCCTTACCTATTGCTGCTTATTTTGAGAGAATTTTTTTACCTGTTTTCTTACTGGACACAAGGGGAAGGGAATCACGTTGAACCTTCAAGAAATGTAGACAAAAAGTACAAGACACAAAGTCCTTCCTTCTTGTACATACATACAATGATTACTTTTTTCTGTCTTCCCATCTATATGTACAATGCACCTCTTGTTGTTACTGTCAATCCTGTACGTACTAGTGCCACCCCTGTATAAGG